ATCAAATCCCATGTTAAAATAATTTTAAATAAATTATAAAATAAGAGAAAAGCTTATTAATTCCATACCCACATGTTACCACTATCTATAAAACAAAATAACATTATGTTAATAAAATACTGCCAATACATTGTCTTGTATAAATTAAAGAAAACACGAAGGAATGTCTTGCCTAACTAAAAAATATTACAGTTGAAATTTCCATAGATCTGCTAGGAAGATTTCCAGAGAATATAGAACCAAACCAGTTGAGTTATGAAAATGCAGATCGATTGGAAAAGAAACCGCTGATTGCCTCCAGTTACCTCCAAGTTATACCCCATAATCAAGTTATTCGTGCGCATGTCAGACATATCTCTCCATCTAAATCAAGTGGCAAACATTTGACATTGTCTGCATCTGATTCCGATTCGGATTCGTATTCGGATTCTAATTCGGTTTAAGAGTCAAGATTCAGAGTAAAGATTCAATTTGATTGCCAGAACAGAACGTTAAGATGCAAGAGAGTCTAAACGAGCGAAGCGGCAACAAATTTGCATTTAGTGTCTGGTATTTGTTATACCCTTGCAGAGGGTATTATAATTTTGTCCAAAAGTGTGCAACGCAGTGAAGGAGACATCTCCGACCCTATAAAGTATATATATTCTTGATCAGGATCACCTCCTGAGTTGATATGAGCATGTCCGTCTGTCCGTCTGTCCGTCTGTCCGTCTGTCCGTCTGTCCGTCTGTCTGTCTGTCTGTCTGTCCGTTTCTACGCGAACTAGTCTCTCAGTTTTGAAGCTATCGTCTTGAAACTTTGCACACACCCTTCTTTTCTTTGCACGCAGTATATAAGTCGGAACGGCCCGGATCGGCCGACTATATCCTATAGCTGCCATATAACTGATTGATCGGAAATGGTATAACTTTGGTGGTTGTAGAGTTAGAGAGTTCAAATTTGACATGAGAGCTATTTTTGGCAAATTATTGTGACATGCCAAATTTCATAAGGATCGGCCGACTATATCTTATAGCTGCCATATAACTGAACGATCGGAAATGACCTAACTTTCGTGTTTTTGAAGATAGAAAGCTGAAACTTAATACAGATTCTATTATTGGCCAGTTGATCCGACCTACCAAATTTCATTAGGATCGGTCGACTATATCCTATAGCTGCCATATAACTGAACGATCGGAAATGGTACTTGGTAGAAATATCAACTTTCGTATTTTGGAAGATAGAAGTTTGGGACTTATTTTAGATTTTGTATTTTAGTAAATTGGTTTTATTATGATGTAATCATAAGGATCTGCCAACTATATCCGATGTTTGCGATATATATCCGGTTTTAACTGCAAGGGTATATAAACTTCGGCTCCGCCCGAAGTTAGCTTTCCTTTCTTGTTTTTTCTTTATGATGGTCATAAAGGTATCATTGGTGGTGCAAATGACTGCAATTAACAGGCATTTCAGCATTTCATAGTGCCCACGCACCCCGAAAAAATAACAAATAGGCGCCCAGTGGTGTGCCAGTGAATAACAATCACAATTCAAGTTCTTCAAGCTTGCGAGTAGCAATCTTCAGGCTGCAGTGTGCAGTCTGCAGTCTGCAGTCTTCGGATATATCTTCTGTCTTTTGTCGCACATCTGGTGTCTTGGGTCTTCTGTCTGTACAGTGATTGTTGTTTTAATTAACGAGCTCAGCTTGAAAATCAATTGCTTTCAAAGCCTTGCATTAATGCACAGAAAAGAAATAGTTGTAATATTAAATCGTAATTTTTAGTAATTTAAAAATTGTTAATATTACATATAGAAAATAAAGTTCTACAATCAAAACCAATTTTTTGTAAATACCTCAAGCCTATTGGAAGTATTAAACTAATATTTTCTTTTTGTGCACTTTAGATGCTATTTGTTTGATTGTTTTATTTGTTTTCTGTTCGGTTGTTTGTGTTACTGATGGGGCTGATCTACTTGAGCACTTCGGATTGGATTTCATCTGTCTCTAATCTGGGGTCTTAGCTCTCCGCCGGAGACATTGAACACGGCTGCTCCAAATGCTCAATACGGTTGCCAGTTGTGGCTTGTTTATTAGCCCAAATGCGATCGCTGTTGGCTTGTTGTTTGGTTGCCAACTGAAAAGCGGCATTCGCTTTTGGATAATTATTTATTAAGGTTTTACATGGTACTATCTCTATCTCTCTCTATAGACTATTATCTATCTCTGTCGCTGTGTGTGTCTCTGTGTTACCGTCCCTGTCCCTGTCCCAGAAAAGTGCACACACAAAACAGAAGTGGCAAGGTTGCTCTTGCTTTTTGCAGTTAAGCGATAGAAACCGACAATCGACCATGTATCTGTGGCTGAGACGAAGTTAAGAGATGTGGATACAGCTGCAGTTGTACACAGAAAAAAAGATTTATAGCATATCTAACATACGAGAACGATTTAAGAGTATTGAAAGCTTTCTTTTCTAACATTGAAGAAAATAATTACTTTAAGGATTTTATAATTTTTCTTGACATTCGTATGTGAAATAATTCTCTCAGTCTTTTTTGAGATGCATCTAGAAATACTTCAGTTGAGCTTCAGCTAATAGATTGAGATACAAACTCCAGCAAATGTCGAATGTGTCCCTGAACTGTGAACCAAGCCAGAAGCCAAAGAAGCAATTGTTACTTTACTTCAAGATATTATATATATATACATATATATATTTAAAAAAAAAATATCTATGATCTTCCTTTGTTTCCCTTGGTATATTTTACTATCTGATCACTAAACCATATCACTTGCGGATTTTTCTATTAAGCAGTCACTGCATCTGGACACTGAACACACTTTCATGCTCCAGTGAATGGGCAACCAGGTAGGAAATGAGTTTGGTCATTGTTCGTTTAATTTGTTTGAGCTTTGTTCTCTCCACTGGAAAATAGTGAATATGTTTTTCTTATTGTTTGTTTAAATGCTTAAACCATAAGCTTATGGTTAGCATTTATCATAACCAGCAAAAAAAAAAATTGTGTGAAAGTAAGATACATACAGATTTGCTAATGTGCGCCAGTCTCCCATATGGTAGCTTTAGGTTCATTAAATTCATTTCCCCATGACTCTGAGCTCTCTATCACTGAGCTATTACTTAGAACTCTTGACTTTGGTAGGCTATCTTTGCTTTTTATATCCTTGCAAAGGGTATTATAATTTTGTCCAAAAATGTGCAACGCAGTGAAGGAGACATCTCCGAACCTATAAAGTATATATATTCGTGAACAGGATCACCTCCTGAGTTGATATGAGCATGTCCGTCTGTCTGTTCCTACGCGACCTAGTCTCTCAGTTTTAAGGCTACTGACTTCTTTCCTTTGCAATAAATCGGAACGGCCCGGATCGGCCGACTATATCCTACACAAAGCTGCCTATAACTGATTGATCCAAAATGCTGTAACTGCTTAAGTGCCACCTTTGAGAATCGAGGAGGAGGGCGCTCTTTTTTTATGAATTTCAAAAAATTTATATATTATTTTTCATAAAAAAAATGGAATTGAATTTTTTTAATTTTATTTTTTGGCGCTGCTTAAGTGCCACCTATGAGAATCGAGGAGGAGGGCGCTGTTTATATTAATTAATTTCAATTATTATTCTTTTTTTATAAAAATAAGCACGTTTGCCATGTAACTTTTCTAGCTTTAATATTTAGAATCTCATAAATAAAACAACTACAAAGCCAACTACTAACTCACCAAGCATCTTTTAACCTTCTCATTATTTATTACTTAAATAAATTAATTTATTCCATTGAATTGGTAACATAAGTGACACATATTTACATCATTTGAAAATCATATCCTGCATGAAAATTGCTTTTGCTTTAAACTTTAGATTTTAATTTGGGTATGTATTTTTCTCTCAACTAATTCATAGAATGAATTTTATAACTTTTACACACATTTCATTCCCAAGTAGGCCTCAAACTAAAATGTCAAATTGTAGCCCCATCTGCTTTCCCATTTCTAGTCATTCAACGTTTCGTCCCCAAACAGTGAGGTCGATTTTAAAATTCTGATATTTTCTGAGTCTGATATTTTTTGAAAATTACAATATTTTGTGTCGGTCAGTTCTAATCTCTCTAATGGGGAGAGACAAATCGCTTTTAGACAAGCTCCGCAAAAAGCGGAAGAACAGGCGCCGTTTGATATATAATCCTTTTAAGAGTGCTGGTACCGTATTGAAGAAACCATGGGCAAGGCCATATAAAAGATTCTTAAAGAACCAACAAAGAAGACAAGCTTCGTCAGAACTTCAGGAAAAGTGGAACGAAAATGAATTTAATCCTCCAACGGTAAGTTCAAGGGGATCTATAGATCTATAGTTTGTATAATGCTCTTCTCTATCAGTGTGGCACATCCGATGGAAATGAAGAGGAATTGTACAGAGGATCGAGCTGCTAGCCAGACACTGGTGTTACACCCAACGAGATGCCCAAACGTTAATATTTCAATCGTTACAATTAGTGGCACAAATAGGCGGAGTCCCGCATGACACGTTATACCTTATACACGTTATACGTTATGCACGTTATATGTTATACAAAATAAATTCTAAGTATTTTAAAATTTATATTTCTGGAACTTTTGTCAAGTTAACATTTCTGAATTTCAATAAATTTTATATGGTCCAGAGTCACTGTGGCTGAGTGACTGATCGGAAATGGAATTTGGAATCTAGAAGCTTGGGACCACATTACATTTACATTTTTCAGAAATTAAGACACAATTTAAGACAAAAATTGAAAGTAAACCAACATAAAAGCCAACGCCTACTATATGGCATCTGTCAATATAATTTAAAAAAAAATATAATTCTTTTTTTCTAGCAGGCCTTGAAAAATATATCTTTAATTATTAACCCCTTAGGAAAAACCCAATATAAAAAATATTTATCCTAATTTAAATCTTTAAAATGCCATGTATATCTATGAAACCCTTAACCAAAAACCCTTTCAAATAAAAAACACTCGTTTTAAACTGAATTCCAAAACTTTTACTGTGATATAAGTGTGCCAAAGTTTGTGCGATGCCGGGTGATAATCGGGATCGAGGCTAACTACTAGTCGAGAGGCTTGTTTGCGTTCCAAATCCGAAAATAGTGGTTCGCCGAAAGAAGTCATCCGGGAGGACCAGTGGTTAGTAAGGCAAGGACTAAGCAAACCGCATACACTTGGCCTTCTGGGTATAGGTGACGGCTCCGTACTCCTCCACGATCTGGTCGATAGCGATCTTGTTAAGGTTCTCCAGATAGAGTCGGGTCTTGCGGGACTGGATGATGTAGCTGATGACGTCGTGCATATTGTCGAAGAAGAGGAAGCCGGCGGTGCCGCAGCTGAGATCCAGATACCGGAACCTATTCACGTCGCAGGTGCAGCCATCGAACAGGAAGTAGATGAAGTCGTTATTGTTGTGATAGCGGAACACCACATAGTTGCCCCAGGGTGCCATCACAAAAACGCGCTCGGCACACCGGAATCCGGCCCTCAGCAGCTTACAGATGCTGTCGTAGCATCCGTTTTCCGATCCCACCACAGCCATGGTCTCCGGAATACGCAACAGGGCCGGATAATGATTCGGCTGTGCACGGAGCACGTCGTGCGGCCCGCTAGACTCCGGGCAGGAGTCCAGCGGCTGCATTTGCTTGGGCAGCTCCGGGCATGGGGGACACGGTGGTGCCTCCACGGGTAGTACCGCTGCCGCTGGCTTCTTTCCCTTTCCCTTGCCTTTACCCTTCTTGCCCATGTTGGCCTGGAAGTTCTACTTAGTCCTCTAACTGTTCTAACCGACAGTCTCGTCCTGAAAGGGTCACTTCCTTATAGTCGTTGGGTTCTTCAACTACCTCCTGTATGGCTTCCAACTGTCTCAGCTACTCTCACTTGCTAACCTCAACCGACCAGATCCAAGCGCACATATTTATTTTCCGAAATCGAATTCCAAAAGAAAAGGCTGCTACGGTTGTTGAGGCTTTATTATCCTTGAGGTTTAGGCTGCCGAGGACTCACCTGCAAACACCAATAAGGATTTTATTTGTTGGCTTTTTTTTATTTTTGGTTTTAGAAACACACACGACTAGTTGCCGAAAAAATTCCCGAAAATTAAAATTTATTTTATTGCTCGCACAAAACTTTTGATTTAATTTTTGGGCCAAAAATGTGAAAATTTAAATTTCGTCAAGATTTTCGGATTTAAATTTTTTCCGGGATTTTTGGTGTGTTTTTGTGTGTTTACAGACGATTTTAATTCTGATTTTTTGCCATGTGGTTGGTAGCAGGTAAGCCTACATACTGACATACAAAGCCCTGTGACTAGGATAACTAAATTTCCATGGCTTGCTTTTCTCCAGAGTTTTCTTTTTTTTTTTTGAATAATTTATTCAACACTCAAATAATATTATAAATGGCTGAAAAGTTGTAGCAGTTTTGGCCATTTATGATTTTGAAATTTCAATTAGAATGCCGTGACAACAAGTCCGCCCCCTGAATGGCCAGAAAATGCATGTAAATCGGTGGCAGCCAGTCATCCATCCATCTTCCTGTCTATCTGATCGTCAGTCGGCGCATCCAACCAAACAAAAACTAAACTTACAAAAAAAAGAGTAATATTTTTGTAAGAAACTGCTGCAATTGCGACGAGAGACAAATGCAAATTAAGCAACTGCCGAGGGGCACCAACAAGGCAGCTTAATTAAGTTGTGTGTTTGCCAAGGAGACACATGAGTGACGAGTCGAGTCGACTCCATTGGCTCCAGGCACTAAATTCTTGGGCAATCAGGTGGCAAGATATGAAGGTGGCATGGTGGCAAGGTGGCAAGCTAAGATCCTTATTCCAATGGGCCATTGGAAAAGTGAATGGCTGTCAAAGCAATTAAATGCTTGCGCTTTTGGACCCTTGACAAATATTCACAGCGGGGGCTAAACAACAAAAAAATGAACAAAATTCAAATAATAAATAGCATAAATATGGAAATAATTAAGAGACAGAACCTGTTGCAAGCAGTGGACAATGGCCAGAGGCTTAAATGAAGTGCGATTACCTTTCAAACTAGGGGCACTAGAACAGTGGTTAGAAAAACATATATGTTTGGAGTTTAATTTTTAAAAGATCTATATAAAAGACTTAACAATATTTATTTTAATTTAAAACCAAAAACTGAGCAATTCTTTTATTAGAAAGTATTTTTTTCCAATGCTTGCCTGACTTTTATAAATATTTTCCAAAGCCACATGGTTAGTTCTTCTTTATTTCTTTATTTTTTCTCTAAATTTATGGCAATTTTGAATCCAATGTGCAATTGGCATGATCACATGGAAATCTATGGGCCAGCAATACCCCAAGTGTTTGCATTTCCAAGCTGACTAAGCCACAAAATGACTTTCGACAGGTACGATTTTTGGTCTGGGTCTGGTCTAGACACTCTAGACGGTGTTTGGCTTTTTGTTTGCCCAATTTGCGTCATTAATTTGTTTGTGGAACTCTAATCAAACGAAGCCGGCGAATGGTCAATACAAATATTTTACAAAAAAAATAAACTACAATACAAAGTAAGCAAGAATCCAAAATACCGCAACTAATAAACAAATAAAATGAATGTTACTGGGCAACTTGCATACTTTACATAATCTCATGAAATTTATGCTTTAAATGATTTCCATTTACAGATATGCTATGTGAATTGTGTATTTTTTTGCTATTTTTTTGTATATTTTGGTGGGATGATGATGACACCGCAATTGCAGCCATTCCATTCCAGCTCCAGCCACTCCAGCTGCGGGGTTCAGTGGGTTCAGGTGGTTCGGGTAGCCCGGGCACACTTCTACGAGTATTGCTCCATCCAGTCGCGGATCTTTCGGCTAATGGGGAAACTCAACCTGTCGCTGAATCGCATGGATGCGATATCCATGAGTCGGCAGCTTCGCTTAGGACATCCAAACACTAAATATTTGGAAGAAACATGAAACAATGTTGCATATACCCTTACCTAGCTTGAAAGCTAATATGTTTCTTATTGGCAACCAAATTTTTTTAAATTAAAGACTGCTGTAAAACTTATGTGAAATATTTATAATACCCCTTTGGGAAGTGTATCAAAAGAAATAAGTACAAGTATGCTTGCTCGACTGACTGCCTGTGGGTGCTCATCTGCGGAATTATATAACCGATACTGGCAGTTTGCCCATTTAGTTGCCAACAATGTTGGGAGCTCAGTAAACATCTGCTAACAGCCAGTAATTAGCTGCCTAGAAAAATACAAAAAAATATGCAACAATTATGAAATTAAAATAGAGAGAATAAAATTGAATAATTTCAAAGAAATTCAGTTGAAAAAAAATTAGATTTTGAAAGAAAAGTGAAGCTTTAAATTAAATAACATTTGAAGACCAAGTTCTACTAATTCAACTCTATAAATTCACTGATATAATAATCCCTAAACCTCTCTTAATAAAATCCCTCTTAAAAAAGACCTTATCTGAGGTGCAAGTTATACGTTGACACTTTTAATGAGCCATAAATTCATTCAAAACGATAAAGTCTTAAGCTTTTTTAATTAACAAGCTTTTTTCTGTTGATCTTGGCTTGAAGCTAAAGCCTCGAAACTTGGCCCAGAAAAGCTTAATGGTTTAGACCAGACCACAACCCTGGGAAAGCTTCAAGTTGTTTGAGTTTCTTGCTGAATAAGTTCACGCTGACTTCTCGTGAAGGGGAAATGCAAATAATAGTTTTTTGTTTTCCTTTTTTAGGGGAGGAACGGAAGGAAGGACCCTGGTATTGGCCAACCAACTTTAACTTGGCTTTTTGGATGCTGTTGGCTGCTGGCTGGGTACTAGGTTCTCGTACCAATATGCCAAAATCCATCGAACTGGGCCAACGAAAGTGCAACGAACTAGATGGGGACGCCAGCGAGTCTGGGCCAAGCCAAAAATAGGAGCGAGGACCAAGTCATTGGGTCAAAAACAAGCCAAACAAAAAAAAAAAAAAATGGATGCATAAAGTGAAATAAAAAATAAAAAAAAAGTAGATGTATATTGAAAAGTATGACCCCAAGGAGGGGGGTCTCTGGGTAAAAACTGGCAGAAAAACTCCGTGGCGCCAACAAATTTTATTGCAACTCTCGAGTGGCCATGGGCAGGTGGGTTACTGGGGTTACCGGTGCTACAGGATACTACATACATACATATATAAAGGATACTGGATGGCTGGCTGGTAACTGCAAAAAATAAACAAAATGCAGAAGGTAAATTCGCTGGCAAATCAAACAGTGAGCGAGAGAAAGACTTTAGTTCCCTGGCAGCCAAAAGGTCATCATCGCCGTTAAAAATAAAATAAATAAAAAAAATAATATGTATAAAGTATGTATATATAGACGCCTAGCCACAAGAAAAGGAAACCTTCAAGTGGCGGCATGCTTAATCCCAAATTGTATCTTTAAGTTGGGTTTTTCGTCCTGTTTTACGAGTTTCCTGCTCAATGAAGTTGCACGTGCTTTGCGCCCCTTGCCCCAATAAATCCGTTAGCCAATGCTCTCTGAAACCCTCCCCGCCCCCAAAAAAACAACCTTTTCCTTTGTCTGCCTTTGCTCTTTTCGATGACCTGGCCCAAACAAAAAAAATACAAAAAATATTTGAGAGAAAGGGAGTCGAACCTTGGACTGAGGTGAAGGTCAGGTACTCTTGCAAATATTTTTTAATGAGGATATAGTTGTCGGATTAAACTTTTTAATTGGAACTACATACAGTCTTAAGCTAAAGCTCTGTAAAAAGTTTCGGCTATAGGCTTAAAAATGACAGAGTAATCAAGCTAAAAAGACAACAATTGGCGCTTTGACGGGGTCGCCATTCCCCCAATATCATACCTCCCCTAAAAGTATAAATACAAAACCTGAGCCCGACCCGACCTCTCATACATCGCATATAAAGGTGCGATTATCTTGATATCGGTCAGGGGGGTGCCGGGCAGAGAGGTCAGCAACCCAAATCGACCCGAAAACTTCTTTGTCGGGGTCACCTTTAAGTCGGCAAAATCACTTTGAAATACAATTACTCTCAATTAACAGTGTAATGAAGCGCAATCGGTAAAGCCAGGGGGATTAAACTTTTACAAAAAATCGTTTGAGGTAAACTTTCTGTTTCGGCTTACGGATGTATGGCTTTAGAGAGGAGATTTTTCAAGTGCTTTTGATTAAAAAAATATAAGACTTTGTTGGCTTGGATCAGAGGATTAGGCCAACCTATACCTCAGTAACTTCTTGAGAGATCCACCCACCCACCAATTTCAATTATTGTCAATTGTTTCGATTGTCTTCTAGTTAATTGCGTACTTTGAGGAGAACCTCTTTCCCTTCTCAGTTAAATTGTCTTAAACGAATGCCATTCTGAATTTCAATTGGCGGTGGATTTGTTTTTTTCGGCATCTTCCACCCTTCTACCATTCAAAAAAGACAAACTACTCTGGGGATTTGTCGCTAAATAAATATGACACTCGAAAATTGAAATCCCTCCAAAAGTCCTCCCTTTTTTATATCTAAATGTAAATGGTAAAAGATTCCAAATTGCCAGGGCACTTTGTGTGTGTTTTTTTTTTCTCAGTCTGATGATTGGAAATTCACTTTTTTTTTCGCCATGGGTATGGGTGTTTGTTTGGTTGCGTGCAATTTGCGTTTATTTTAGGCGCGTGGATAAGGCGCATAAGAAATATGCAAACACACACACAGAGGATACCCCAGGATACCAAGGACCTCCGAAAAAAACCTCGCATGGAGCCTTGTGCAAACATATCAATGCAAATCATCGCCGGGAGAGGATCTACCTGGGAACCAAAAAAAATAATAGCATACTTCCCCCTCCGTGGGCTCGTTGGCTTGGAAAAGGAAAGTAAGTCCCATATCACTTGGCCAGCATGGGTATCTCTTCCACTCCTCCTTTTTTCCATCTTGGTTTTTGGATTTTTACTTTCTGCTATCACCTTACCTATCCGGGTTCTTACAGGTGTTGATGATAAAGCGATTTGGCGCTAAACTGCGTAGCTCAGCGAAAGGAGAACATGGATTGACCGGACACGTGTCCTACTTTTTGGTTAAGGCTAACAGAGAGTACCAAGGAAAATAGTACTTCTAAAAATAAACAGGATACTTAAACAATATTTTATTTTTGTATAC